GAAGACTTGAGGCTGTAATCGCTGCCAAAGGTGCTTCAACAAAGTATTGAGTAAAGGGTCAGAATATTATGTAAATGTGATTTCTTCCGGGGGTGTTTTGAAAGAAATTATAAAAACCTGTTTTTTCTTTGGCATTATGGCTTGTTGTGTGCAGATTAATGAGGGAAAACACAATTTAATCAATTTTAGAATAAGGCTGTAACGTAACAAAATGTGGAAAAAGTCAAGGGGTCTGAATACTTTCCGAATGCACTGTATATACAGTACCAGTCAAAAGTTTGGACACAGCTACTCATTCAAGGGTTTTTCTTTATTTTTACTATTTTCTACATTGTAGAATAATAGAAGACATCCAAACTATGAAATGACACATATGGAATCATGTAGTAACCAAAGTGTTAAACAAATCAAAATATATTTTATATTTGAGATTCTTCAATGTAGCCACCCTTTGCCTTGATGACAGCTTTGCACACTGTTGGTATTCTCTCAACCAGCTTCACCTGGAATGCTTTTCCAACAGTCTTGAAGGAGTTCCCACATATGCTGAGCACTTGTTGGCTGCTTTTCCTTCACTGATCTACCCCAACCCCTCCCCCCAAAGAAAGAAGTCAAAAGAAACACCTTACCACTCCGCTTATCTTATCTTAATTGGCGTAAGGTCAAAACTGTAATAAGCATACGCCGATTGAAACATTTGGTTTTCTGAGCAGTCTTTCAAATTATTATGACATGTAAACACCATAAATCTGTGTTCCAGCTGTGTATTTGACCTGCGCATGTACTAGCACCAGCAGAGCCAGCCTCCCTCTTGAGCATGAGTGAAGTGTGTTCAGAGCAACTGAATGTATGTGTCTTTAGAAGTCGTTTTCACATACAAACTTTATATATGTCCAAACTCAGAATCAATCAGGATTGTTCCTAGTTCATGATGTTTCAATAGTTAACGAATGGTACCAAAGAAGACCTATGAAGCCCAGGTGGATTCTATACTTTACAATAGAGAAATATGGGTTCCAGAAGGGTTATTCAGCTGTCCCCATACGAGAACCCTTTTTGGTTCCCTTTTGTGGAAAGGGTTCTACATGGAACCCAAAAGGGTTCTTCTACCTGGAACAAAATAGGTTCTACATGGAAACAAAAATGGTTCTTCAAAGGGTTCTCCTATAGGAGCTGAAGAAACCTTTTTTAGGTTCTAGATAGCACCTTTTGTACAGAGGAATCAACACCATGTGAAGGGAACCGGGCCTGTATTCAGAAAGCCTCTCAGAGTACTGATCTAGGATCAGGCCCCCCCCTGTCCATGTATCTTTTTTGTAATCTTATTTATGATATAAAAGGCTAAACTGATCCTAGATCAACCCTCCTGCTCTGAGAAGCTTTATGAATATCGGCCCTGATTTCTTAAGTCATCCCGCCTTTGACATTTGATTTGATTTATTTCAACAACAACAAAAATGGGTTAAAACTATTCTTACTGTTTATAAACAATTCAAAAACTAAGAAAGCCAACAGGATAACACACGATAGTGTTATTATGAAATACACTTATTTCGAATGTGGTCCTCAGAGTGAGGCAGACCTGAAGGAGGGGGGAGGGGGTGGTGTAGGACCAACACCTCATGGAGATTACAGGCTGTAGGGTGGAGTTGTAGTACCCAACACCTCATGGAGATTACAGGCTGTAGGGTGGAGTTGCAGTACCAACACCTCATGGAGATTACAGGCTGTAGGGTGGAGTTGTAGTACCAACACCTCATGGAGATTACAGGCTGTAGGGTGGAGTTGTAGCACCAACACCTCATGGAGATTACAGGCTGTAGGGTGGAGTTGCAGTACCAACACCTCATGGAGATTACAGGCTGTAGGGTGGAGTTGTAGCACCAACACCTCATGGAGATTACAGGCTGTAGGGTGGAGTTGTAGCACCAACACCTCATGGAGATTACAGGCTGTAGGGTGGAGTTGCAGTACCAACACCTCATGGAGATTACAGGCTGTAGGGTGGAGTTGCAGTACCAACACCTCATGGAGATTACAGGCTGTAGGGTGGAGTTACCCTGGGTCCTGGGTCTGTTCAGCATTTTCCCCACCAATGGTTAAGGTTAGGATTGGGGGAGGGGGAGCCAATGCTAGATATGTACCAAGGGGAAACTTCACCCTGAGCGAGATGACAGTCAACACTCCAACCACTTCCTTCTTCAGTGGAAAACATGCTCATGCTCATCTAGGTCACACGAAGGCTACGTCTGCATCCAAAATGGCACCGTGTTCCCTATGTAGTGCACTACTTTTGACCAGGGCCCATAGGGCACTATGTAGGGAATAGGGTACGATTTGGGATGCAATCCTGCATCTTAGTATGACCAGGGTGCAGTTTGATTATATAGTCGTACATTTAAACAGAGTAAAACCAAAAGGGACTTTTTCAGTAGCTGGAAGTCCCTTGTGGCCAGTGGATGGGAGGCTCATAATAATAGATGGAATGGAGAGGAATGGAGAGGAATTGGAGAGGAATGGATGGAATGGAGAGGAATGGATGGAATGGATGGAATGGAGAGGAATGGATGGAATGGATGGAATGGAGAGGGATGGATGGATGAGAGGATATGGATGGATGATGGAATGGAGAGGAATGATTGGAATGGAGAGGACTGGATGTATGGGAGGATTGATGGAATGGAGTGGATGGATGGAATGGAGAGGAATGGATGGAATGGATGGAATGGAGAGGAATGGATGGAATGGAGGGAATGGATGGAATGGAGAGGATGGATGAATGGTGGAATGGAAGGGAATGATGGAATGAGGAATTGGAGGATGGATGGAATGGAGAGGAATGGATGGAATGGAGAGGAATGGATGGAATGGATGGAATGGATGGAAGAGAGGAATGGATGGAATGGAAGGAATGGATGGAGGATGGAGGATGGAAGGAGGATGGATGGAATGGATGGAATGGAGAGGAATGGATGGAATGGATGGAATGGAGAGGAATGGAGGGAATGGATGGGAATGGAGAGGAATGGATGGAATGGAGGAAGGGATGGATGGAATGGGGAGGAATGGATGGAATGGATGGAATGGAGAGGAATGGAGGAATGGAGAGGGATGGAGGGGAAAGGGGGAATGGTGGAATGGAGGAATGGGAGGAGGATGGAATGGGGGAATGGATGGAATGGAGAGGGAATGGAGGAATGGAGAGGAAGGGTGGAATGGGGGAAGGAGGAAAGGAGGAATGGGAAAGGAGGGGGGAATGGGGAGGGGAAAAATTTGGGGGTGGAATGGAGAGGAAAGGAGGAAGGAAAGGGGAAAGGAGGAAGGGGGAAAGGTAATGGAGAGGAAAGGAGGAAAGGAAAATGGAGAGGAATGGATGGAATGGAGAGGGAAAGGATGGAATGGAGAGGGAAAGGTGGAATGGGGAGGAATGGAAGGGGTGGGTTGGATGGAAAGGAGGAATGGATGGAATGGAGAGGAAGGTGGAATGGAGAGGAATGGAGGAGGAAGGAAAGGTAATGGGGGAAGGAGGAATGGGTGGAATGGGAGGAAAGGATGGAAGGAGAGGAAAGGTGGAATGGATGGGTGGAGGGGGGGAGGAAGGAAGGGAAGGATGGAATGGGGGAATGGATGGAAAGGAGGGGGGAGGAAGGAGGAATGGAAGGGGAAAGGATGGAAAGGGGGGAATGGGAAAAAGGGGAATGGAGGAAAGGTGGAATGGAAGGGAAAGGATGGGGAAAAGGAAGAGGGAAAGGGGAGGAATGGAGGGGAAGGAAGGGGAAAGGAGGAAAGGAGGAAGGAGAGGAATGGATGGGAAAGGGGGGAAGGTGGAAGGAGGGGAAAGGTGAAGGAGAGGAAGGAGGAAGGGTGGAATGGAGAGGAAGGATGGGAAGGGAGGAAAGGATGGAAATGGAAGGAGGAAGGGGGGAAGGGGGGGAAAAATGTGAGGTGGAGGAATGAATGGAGAAGGGAATAGGATGGAGGAATGGAGGGAGGAATTTGGGTGGAATGGAGGAGGGAAATGGAAGGGAATTTGGAAGGAATGGAGGATGAGGGAATGGAGGAAAGGGGATGGGAAAAGGGGGGAATGGAGTAGGATCTTTTTTTTTTGGGGGATTTGGGATGGAGAAATGGAGGGGAAAGGTGATTGGGAGGTGGTGATTGGGGTGGAATGGAGGATTTTTTTTTTTTTTTTTTTTTTTTAAATTTTGGGGGGGGGGGGGGGAAAAAAAAAATTTTTTTGGGGGGTTTTTTTTTTTTTTTTTTTTTTTTAAAAAAATTTAAAAAAATTTTTTTTAATTTGGGGGGGGAAAATTAAAAAACCCCTTTTTTTTTTTTTTTTTTTTTTGGGGGGGTTAAAAAAAAAAAATTTTAAAAAATTTTTGGTTTTTTTTTTTTTTTTTTTTTTTGGGGGGTTTTTTTTAAAAGGGGGGTTTTTTTTTTTTTTTTTGGGGGTTTTTTTTTTTTTGGGGGGAAAAAATTAAATGGGGGGGGGGGGGGTTTTTTTTTTTTTTTTTTTTTTTTTTGGGGGGGGGGGTTTTTTTTTTTGGGGGGGGGTTTTTATGGATGGTGGATGGAAGTGCTTGGGATGCGTCGATGGTTGGATGGCGTGGATTGGGTGATGGTGGCTTGGTGGAATGGGAATGATGGTGGATGATGGAGTGATGGAATGATGAGTGATGAGGATGGAGATTGGATGGAATGGAGAGGAATAGATGGAATGGAGTAGAATGGTATCAAACACATTAAAACCATGTTCTTGATACCATTTCATTGACTCCATTCCAGCCATTCTTATGAGCCGTCCTCCCCTCAGCAGCCTCCACTGCTCATGTTCCATTTATACTCTTGTGGTTTCAATTCTCACGACAAGCATTGTTTTCCATTCCTCTGAATCAACATACTGTGGTTGTCTTTTTTACAGCACTGATCTGCACACGCTGTGTATACCTGCATGTGAGGCATAATACTGTTGAACAGCATGATGGGAAATAACAAACCAGCCCTGACAACCTTAGCAAGGAAAATATGAACCCTTTATACACATCACGCATCACTGAAAGCCAACAAATTATTCACAGAATTACACATGGTTTAGAACTTTAGAAAATGAGACAAACTTTATTTGACGTTAGAGGAGTAATCAGATAGGAAAACTGGTGCTTCATGTGGGTGATTGTTTGACAATGCAATGGACCCTTTCCCTCGGCCACGTTATTTCCAGAACTAACAAACTTCTATATTGCCTCACATTAACAGAAGTGCTCTGCCTTTACTAAGGCATATTGGGGTGCAACACGTTGGCAGTCCAATGAAGGCAAAACACTAAAACTGACCCCAACCCTAACCTTAAACCTAACCCTAGTCCAGCCGTAACTGACCCCAACCCTAACCTTAAACCTAACCTTAGTCCAGCCGTAACTGACCCCGACCCTAACCTTAAACCTAACCCTAGTCCAGCCGTAACCAATGAGGAAATTCAACATGGGTTCGCTGGTCAGTCACGTCCCTCTAGTTTTTCCCATAGTACTGGTACGGAGGAGGGGGCGGGTAATAAGCGCTGGCGTAAAGATGAGCTTGTGAGTACGGCAGCATGGGAGGAGCTTGTGTTGAAGGCAGCATGAGAGGAGCTTGTGTGGCAGGCAGCATGGGAGGAGCTTGATGAGTCGTTGCCATTTCCATGTTGGAAGCATTTCCATAACGAAGAGCCTCGGTCACCTCAGCCGAGGAGTCTTTTTTGATTCTTCGGGTCATTACCAAAGCCAGAAGCATTTCAATGGCCTGCAAGTAAGAGACAATGAAATGGGTTTTTATATTCAACCTACAAGATATTATCTTGAATATTGTAAACAAATGTGTTGTTTAATACTTGTTGCTTAAGCAGTATTCAAAGAACAGACTAAATATATCACACTATGGGGCTCTATTTTCAGCTGGCGCAACTTTTCAAGATATGTAACTTTCAAAATACAGAAATCATCCCCTTATGATGCATATCTTAAACTTGAGTGCTGATATGCAAAACTTTTTTGGGACTGTCAACAATGGACTAATGAAACAAATACCAAAAGATTGTTTTCGTGTGGAATTTTCTTTTAAGGCATTGCTAGTGTCAAATGCATGTTAGTTTGCAATTTCGTCATGTAAAAACTGGCGCACTGGCATTTTCCAGCCCTAACTCCAGGTTCAGCAATTTACCTGTCTAACATCAGTATGCTTGTGCTCAGGTGGGAGGGGTGGAAATATTTTAGCATTAATGCAGGAAACGCAGCCTATCCAGCCGTGACGCGCACTGCCCCATATGTGCTTGGAACAAGATGTGATTTGGTGCCTGTATACTTCATATTTAGAAACCTAAAACACTATTTTCCCCCCTCATTTCGTTTTATTTTATTAAAAACCAAGCATAGCTTCCGTTCCTATCAATGAAGGCTGTTTTCTTTTTGTCCTGCCCAATGTAATCAAGTAGGCTAGTCAAAACCGTCAATAAAGTGTGTGGCTCCTGAGACTGCTTGGAAATTATTCTTCATCACAGAAGCTTTATTAAAAGATCAAGTTTGAGAGGAGTAAAAACATTGAGCTGACATTCCCTTTTTATCTGTGTATTGTAGGCAGGCCTACATTATTTTAGCACTGCAACTCCCGTGCGTAAACCCCCTTTATGATGAAGGCTACGTGTGTCAATGCCCATCATGAAACGAGAGATTAAAACCTTGGTGAATACCGGCGAACCTCTATTTGGAAGTAATTTTTCTTGTAAAAATGGTTCATTTTCCGTTTCCTATTTTAAAAAATCCGAAAACCCTTACCCTAGGCCTACTATGGGGCGGCAGGTAGCTTAGTGGTTAAGAGCATTGTGCCAGTAACCGAAAGGTCGCTGGTTCTAATCCCCGAGCCGACTAGGTGAAAAATCTGTCGATGTGCCCTTGAGCAAGGCACTTGACCCTAATTGCTCATGTAAGTCGCTCTGGATAAGAGCGTCTGCTAAATAATAAATATATATATATATATATATATATATATATATATATATACTATAACGAAGACTGGTTTTAACAGCAATGCGTCATGTCTGTATTTATGCTGGAGAATTTATGACATCATTAGGCTACATTTTACATGTATTTATTGTTGGTGAAAAAAAACTAACAGATTGCTTGTTTTTTGTAGAATTTGATTAATACCAAACTTATTAGAATGATTCACCGTCCTGGTTTTATGGTGAGAACGTCCGTGGCGCGCCTGCAATGCAACTTCCGGAGAAGTGTGAATGCAATCTGTAAGATGGTTGCAATATGTTTATAAAACATATTTGGAAGCAGTATAAGGGTGAGTGGACATTCTCCCATTGTCTTTATATTGGATCTTTGTCAAGCTGTCGTTTTCGTTTTGTTTAGAATTTGATTAGAATTACTTGCTCTCTTTTTAGTATATTCAATCTCGCTTATTGTCAACATTTGGCATGTCCATGCTCAGCCTTAATGCAAATTACAGTAGGCCTAGCCGCTAGATCAGGGCGAATGCTATGTTTATATTTCCATATTGAAGCCATTTGATTACTTCAAACAATGTGGACTGCAAACAGGTTCAAGTTAACATATTTAGCAAAGATGGGATAGGTCTACATTTTATTATTTCGTTTCTGTAAGCTATTTAACAAACTATAATGGACTTAATTTGGAATTGGAGTTTATTCCAAGGCAAGACTTGTTTATTCATCAAAACCCAGCCCTTTCGCGCCAATGCCAGCAACTGCGCCGATCATTGTGGGTGTGAAAATAGCTAAAATATTTCTGACCCTGACCTTTCTGCGGTACAAGTACTGCACTCACCGTAAAGACCACATAGAAAATACAGCTGTTCCTCACAATATTCATGTCCACGTACACATTCACAAGTAGATCAAGACAGGGCTGAAATAATACCAACAAAGAAGGAATTACAAAAATGAACAACAACACCACCAACAGCTCTATGTTACGTCTAGCTATTATAATGACTAGACTACTGCATGTATAGGAAAACCAACACTCACTTGTTTGTAAAAATATCCATGCTGTATACAGGAGAAAATAAAATGGATTTCTGTGTTCAGTTCATACAAGTATACAGTGAATGTACAGACAGTCATAGTCTAATTTCTGTAGATGTAAGACCCAGTCTGACCTCAGTAAGAACACAGGACTCTCCTTGGAGAGGAGAGCAGTAACAGGATGAGGGGACATGAGAATCCCAATCTTCATACCCGTTGACCAATCCACAGCATTCCCCCTGTTCAAATTTAAGAAAAGGGAAACACGAAACGTGGCAAGACAATACACATTTAATTAAAATATTTAACAGAGTTAAATATTTGGAAAATTATTTTTTCAGGACAACTTTTGTTTTTCTGATTTTTGTTGTTGAGTAAAGTTAAATATTTAATTACATGGGTGTGGCCGGTTTCTAAAGATCTGGTTTAGACCAGTTTAACTGATCATATAAAACCACATCCTGTTAGATAATAACTTACAATGGTTTGTAATGCCGTCAGTCCTGGTACCAGATCTCTTCCGTTTGTGTGCAATGGGATGTACTTTTCATACAAGGCTTTAATCATATTTGGAAACTAAAAAATATATATAAAAAAAATTGATTGGACACAATTAAATAAATATCAATGTTTTAAAAATATTTGTTTATTTTTATAGACTTTAACTTGTAATTCTGTCCTACCTGTGGAGGAAGATAGTAGGCCAGAAACCCCAGTCCAAAGCATCGAAGACAAGATCCAACTGAATACTACATCACCTCATGAATAACGTAAATCATAAACATTATATTGGGGGGGCAATACACTGTACACCGTGATATACTTGACTTGGTCTTAGTTGTAAAAGGGGTCAAATAATAAAGTATTTAATTCGTTGACATTACCAATGAGATTTTGGCTTTAATAAACGGGAAATCTGGGATTGATCCATCGGTTTTCTGACTTGTCAATTAACGATATACAGCTATTTATTATTGAAGAATATAACTCATAAATGCCTCATGAGCTCAGTTCAACCGTCTTATAGTTTGAGAGTGAATTTGAGAGCGGTTACATTTTTCAAGCCGCATCCCTCAGCGGTTTACAAAATAGCGTCAGGATGATGGCATTGTTTGAATCCCAGATTGCCCCTTTTAAGAACTGAACGTACCGTGATCAGGACGTTCTTGTTCCTCTTACGAGCTCCATGCATACCGGTGATGCCGAGGAGAAAGGAGACCGCACCGGCTGTGAAGATAGCCCATCTGACTGGAGACAGACGTTCATCTAGGTCCTTCAACATTAAACACACATCATTGCTCTAACACAGCAAAAACAACACGTAGTTTGTTGCATTGCAGTCACATGCAAGATGAAAATATCCGGTTAGAAAAATGTTGCTTACACTTTTACTACTCCTGTAATACATCCAAGGGGTGACAATGAAACTCATGCCACCAATCTGAAGACGACATTTTGGGAGAGAAACGATTATAAAATAAATATGTTCATAATATTGCAGTCTCTTAGCTGCAGTTGCTCTGCCTTTGGACACCACTTTAGATTTTAAAAAGAGTATCCGTTAAAGATTGATTAAAATAAAACACAATATAATGACATAGTATTGAAGTGTTGCATTACCACTTGTAGAATAGTGAAGAAAAGCAGCCAGCCTCTAACAGAGCAGGGACAACACATTGTAGTTCTGGTCTCACTCTCGTCTCGCTCTCTCAATGTGCATTGAAAGAAAAACCTCTGGGTTTTGTGTGATTTCCAGTTGTTTTCTATAGTTCCTCAGACATCAGGGTGGTATTCATTCGTGCACACCGTAGCGAAAACAAAAACAAGCGTTTCTCATTGGTCAGGTTCTGTTAGTTCCTCCCAGTTTGTTAGTGGTCTTCAACTTGGCGCCTAATAAATACAACCCAGGATTGTTCCTGTTTCGTAAGGTTGTTCTCTGAAGAGGCGGGAAGCAAATGGGGAAACCAAATGAATGACTTCTTTATTTGTAAAGTACCTCAGAAGAGGAAGGACGTAAAGCTCACAGGCCTTGAACAGAAGACACTGACATGTACTGCAATCATTATATAAATTAAATTTAAAAAAAAACTGGCAAAATTATATACAGCTTGATCAATATTACCATCAGACTAATATCTACGAGATTGCAATACAATTTGGAAAAAGTTTAAAACATTTGAGCATGAATTATACAAAGTTCAGTGTATGGACTTCAGTGAGAAATACGTAGAGCAGTAGTCAATGGAAACAGAGCTCTTTCAAAAAGACAAATGCATGTTCAATGAGATATGGCTCAATCAACTTCACAAGTCAAGACACTGCCATAATTTAACAAAAGATCTGAAACCCAAATCAGAGCATCATTTGGCGCAGGTAAAAGATCTAGAAACACATGCGGTCCATAGTGATGCTCAGCATGTTGGGGTCCATGCCATTTCAAGTCCAGTCAATTCACAATGCAAACTCCATTCCAAATATTGCTCATTGAAGAGAATTGGAATTTCAGTGTACTTCCTGAATTGACTGGAATTGAACCCCAACCCTGACGTTCAGTATAAAGTACACGTTGCATGCATGCTGTATGGGATATGTCAAAAGCCAACTTTTGATAAAGTCATGATTGGGGTCAATTTGAATTGAAGTCAGTCAATTCAGGAAGTGATTTGTATTTAAAATTCTAATGTAAAAATTAGGAATAAATAACTTCTGCTTTTCAGTTTGAGAAATCATTGAAAATAGATCATTTTTTTTTCAATTGGAATTTCAGTTTACTTCCTGAATTGATGACTTCCAATTCAAAATTGACCACAACCCTGGATGAAGGTGTATCATGTGTCGCTGCATTTAGGCAGTGTTGGCATCCCTCTTCCCAATCTGGCAGTACAGGGTCATGGCGAAGGCCATTCCAAAGAGCTGAAACACAAAACGAAAGAAGGTACTTCACAACCCACTCACTACCAGGCTATAGCCCCGGTCCCACATCAAATTCGGGGTGTCTAGCCTGGTTCCAGAGCCGTTTGTACAGTCTTGCCAACGGGTTGTTATTTGACATCTGCGTTGCCAAGAAGGTGGCAACAGATCTGGGACCAGGACACGTTCACTAAGTATTGAACAGTGACAGAGTGAATTGCACATATCCATCTTAATGACAACAGCCATAAAGTAAGAGATGGAGAAGATGAAACAGACCAGTACTGAACATTGACTAGTACCATAGAAATATATTCAATTTCTATGACCGGTACGTTGCATATTATAATGTATTAAATAGTGGATTTGTTATAGCAATGGGACTTTTGGATTCTTACCATCAAGACTGCGACGCCGAATGCAATCCCCAGCGCGATGATTGCGTGTTTCTCCATGAAGGAAGTCACAAACTTGACACAAGGCTGCAGAAGACACAGAAACAGTCAACACCAGTCAACACTAGTCAACACTAGTCAACACTAGTCAACACTAGTGCAGGTTCATTGTACGAAGACTTTGAGGCACATGGTTGTATCATCCTGGAACCCTCTATGGTTTCATGCATCAGTGCCGTACATTCGCAACCCTTCAATATGCTCATGAAGAGATTGGAATGTTCCATTTTGCCTTTTATTCCTGAAGTTGCACTCGGAATTGCGAACCGCTCATACCAAAACGTTTGTACAGCTATTAACATGTGTTTCACCTCGGATCCCCGCTAGTTCCATAAGGAAGTCACACTTGAAAGCTCGAAGCGTCAAATTGAATCAGTCAATCGTCGGTATGTAGTTTGAGCCATTTTGTACATCTGGAACTCTTGGTTTCATTGGTGAGATCAGTGCGTACAGTTTGTTATAGATGAATGTGTCGAGTGATGCGTAGTAACGGATGAGTGATGGTATGTGATGTATTGGTAGGGTATGTGATTATGTAGAGTATTCTGTGATGGATCATGTAGCTGTGTGCATGTGGGTGTGGTTATGGAGAGTTGAGGGTTGTGGTCTTGAAGTTGGGTAGTTAGTTTATGTTGTATGCTGTGGTAGGGTGTATGTCTTGGATTAGTCCTAGTTGTATTCTTGGTAGTGTATTTATGTTTGATGGTTGGGGTAGTTATGGTTGATGGAGGTGTGTATATGCGCGTAGGTTTGTTATGAGCGATTGGGTGTGTAGTAGCGGAGTATTGTATGAGTAGGGGTATGTGATGTTGATGAGGAGTTAGTGATGTGGGTAGTGAGTCAGTGTGAGGTATGTATGTTTGCGTAGGTGGTATTATGTATATGATGTTAGTGGTGGATTCTTGCGAGTATGGATGTGTAGGTAGGTGATGTAGTATGGTAGTGGTAGTGTAGCGTAGTGTAGTATGTGATAGTGTGTAGTTGATGTAGGGTATGATGTATGTAGCGGTAGTGATGGTTGTATGTGGTAGTGTGTGTATGTGTATGTGTGTAGTGAGGGGTGTTAGGTGAGGTGTATTGTGTAGTGGGTAGTGTGATGTGTTAGTGTAATGGTGTTATGTGTGTAGGTAGTGTGTGGTGTGTATGGTTGTGTAGTTGTGGTAGTTGTGGAGGTAGTTGATAGTAGGTGTGATGTAGCGTGTGTATGTATGTGTCAGGGGTAGTGTGATGTAGTGTAGGTATGTATGTGTGTAGGGTGGTAGGTGGTAAGTGTGATGGTAGGGGTAGTGTGATGTGGTAGGTCAGTGTGATGGTGTGTGATGGTAGAGTGTATGTGATGTGATTAGGGTAGTTGATGGTGGTGATGTAGTGGTTAGGGTAGGTAGTGGGTAGTGTGATGTAGTGTAGGGTAGTGTGATTAGTTACGTTGTGAGTAGTGATAGGGGTAGTGTGATGTGTGGGTAGTGAGGTGATTAGGGGTGTGTGATGTAGTGGTAGGTGTAGTGGTGTAGTTGTATGGATTGTGTAGGGGTTAGTGTTGATGGTAGTGATTATGGAGTGATGGTGTATGAGTTGGTTTATGTAGGGTAGTGTAGTGGTAGTGTGATGTAGATGTAGCGGTATGTGTTAGGTAGGTATGTGATAGGTGTTGATGTGTAGTGTGTAGTGGTATGGTAGTGTAGTGTGGGTAGAGTGTGTGTAGTGGGGTAGTGTGATGTAGTGTCGGTGGTAGTGTGATGTAGTGAGTGTGATGTGGTGATTGGTAGTGGAGGTAGTGTGTGTGGTATGATGTATGGTGTGGTAGTGTGATGGTACGTGTTAGGGGTAGTGTGATGTCGTGTAGGGGTAGTGTGATGTAGTGGTAGTGTGATGTAGCGTAGTGTGTGAGTAGTGAGGTATGGATGTAGTAGGGGTAGTGTGATGTAGGGTAGGGGTAGTGTGATGGTCAGTGTATGAGGGTAGTGTGATGTCAGTGTAGGGGTAGTTGATGTAGTAGGGTAGTGTGATTAGTGAGGTGGAGTGTGATGGTACGTGTAGGGTAGTGTGATGGTCGTGTAGGGTAGTGTGATGTGTGTATGGTAGTGTGGGTAGTGTGGGGATGTAGTCGTGTAGGGGTATGTTGTGGTAGGTGTAGGTGGTAGTGTGATGGTGTGTAGGTAGTGATGGTCGTGTAGGGGTAGTGTGTGGTGTAGTAGGGGTATGTGTGTAGTGGTGTGTAGGGGTAGTGTGAGGTAGTGTAGGGGTAGTGTGATGGTAGTGTAGCGGTAGTGTGATGGTAGTGTGTGTGGGTAGTGTGGGTGTGTGTGGTGTGGTAGTGTTAGGGATGTGATGGGTAGTGTAGGGTAGTGTGATGTGTGTAGGTTGTAGTAGTGTGTATGGTGTTAGGGTAGTGTGATGTAGTGTACGGGTAGTGTGATGGTAGTTGTGATGTGGGGTAGTGTGATGGTTAGTGTGATGGTAGTGTAGGTGTATGGTAGGTAGTGATGGTAGTGTGAGTGTAGGGGTAGTGTGATGTAGTGTAGGGTAGTGTGATGGTAGTGTGATGGTAGTGGTAGGTAGCTGTAGTGTTAGTTGTGTGTGCTATGTAGGTGTAGGTGTGAGGTAGGGGTAGTGTGATGTGTAGTAGGTAGTGTGTGTAGTAGGTGTTGGTAGTGTTGTAGGTAGTGTGATGGTAGTGTAGGGGTAGTGTGATGTAGTGGTAGTGTGAGGTAGTGTAGTGATGTAGTGTAGGGGTAGTGTGATGTAGTGTAGGGGTAGTGTGATGTAGTGTAGTGGTAGTGTGATGGTAGTGGTAGTGTAGTGTGATGTAGTTGGTTATGTGATGTAGTGGTTAGTGTGATTGTATGTGAGGGTAGTGTGGGGTAGTGTGGTAGTGGTGATGTATGGCTAGGTGATAGGGTAGGTGTGAGAGTAGTGGATGTAGTGGGTAGTGTGATGTATGTAGGGTAGTGTGATGTGTGTGTAGGTGGATGTGAGTAGTGTAGGGTAGTGTGATGTAGTGGTAGTGTGATGGTAGGGTAGTGTGTAGTGGTAGTGTGGTGTGTGTGTGATGTTGGGTAGTGTTGTAGTGCACGGTTAGTGTGATGGTAGTGGTATGTGATGTAGGGGTAGTGTATGTGTGGGTGTGTATGGGGTAGTTGTGATGTGTAGGTTGTGTGTGGGGAGTGTGATGTAGTGGTAGTGTGATGTAGTGCACGGGTAGTGTGATGTAGTGGTAGTGTGATGTGATGTAGTGGTAGTGTGATGTAGTATGAGGGGTTAGTGTGTGATGTAGACGGTAGGTATGTAGGTGGTAGTGTGATGTAGTATTGGTAGTGGTTAGGTAGTGTGTATGGTAGGGTATGTGTAGTGGGTGTTAGTGGTATGTATGAGCGGTAGTGTGTGGTAGTGTGATGTGAGTAGGTTGTGATGTAGGTATGGGTGTAGTGTGATGTATGGAGGGGGGTGTATGTAGGGGTAGTGTGATGGTAGTGTTATGTAGTGGTAGTGTGATGTGATGGTAGTGTACGTTTATTGATTTGTTTAATTTGTACAATGTAATGCCTTCTTCCTTGAAAAGCATTTTATTAATAATAAATCAATCTCTGCTCACCGTTGAGTACACTTGGCGTCCATCTGCAAGTTGGCAGGCTTGAGCGGCGTCAACACAGTTACAGGAGCTGGGGACAGTGGAGCCCCAGTCAGAGGCTCCGTTGATCAGGCCACAGCACTTTGCCTGAAAAACAAGTGAGTTAGCCCTCCATCTCACCAACACTAGGGGTTGTGTTCAGTAAAGGCACACTGTCATTTTCCCCATTGCAAAACATTTTACTACGATCTGTTCAGGTAACAGCCCATCTAACGATTTAAAAAAAAATGTTATTCAGTTTGTCTACAAAATGATCCAATAACATCCGTAGCCAATTGAATTAGAACAATTCATCTGGAGCCCACTAAACAAACAATTATTCACCACTGACAAATTCAAGACTGGACAGTCAATGGGAGGTACCGAGATGAATCACCTGGACATAGGATGCGACCCAAATGGCACCCTATCCCAATGGCGCTACCCATGTTAACACAGGCTTTTGGCCACCAGAGTCTTCTATCCAACTCTATGGGAGGTGCCGAGATGAATCACCTGGACATAGGATGCACCCTATTCCCTTTATAGTGCACTGCTTTGGACCAGAGCCCTCTGGGTCCTGCTCAAAAGTAATACACTATTAGGGAATTGGTGCCATTTGTGGCGCATCCTACGTCCAGGTGATTCATCTCGGTACCTCCCATAGAGTTGGATAGAAGACTCTGGTGGCCAAAAGCCTGTTTTAACATGGGGTAGCGCCACTGAGGACTTTCTCCATTTTGAAGTAGTCAACTTCATCGGCTGATCCCTCCTGATGACCCTGTCGGAGTCATGTCCAACCGGGTCATCAGGAGAGATCAACCAATTACTTTGACTCGTGAAGAAGAGAGTGTACTACTTCAAAAATGGTGAGTACCTCAATGGCGTTGGCCACCGTGTGTTCACAGACACCATAATGAAGATCTATCGTTCTCTATGGTACCTCCACTTCCAGTTTCTGGATGTCCGTCTGGACGTCAGGCTTCTGGTCCCTCAGTGGCAGCAGCTTCCCCAGACTCTCCTTCACCCACACCTGAGACTGGAAGAGGCCATTTACACAGTCATTGAACAGTATGGGAGTCACACACACGAAACCGGTGTGGAAAGCATGTTTTATTAAAACACATATTCAAGAAGTGTCAAGGTACTGACTGTATACGAGGGACTACATTTTTTTTGTAGGAATTCAATTGTCCCCACAACAGGTAGCATAGCGGTTAAGAGCGTTGGGCCAGTAACCGAAAGGTCAATGGTTCAAATCCGAGCCGACTAGGTGAAAAATCTGTCGATGTGCCTTCGCACAAGGCACCTTAACCCTAATTGCGCCTGTAAGTCGCTCTGGATAAGAGCGTCTGCTAAATGAATAAAATGAACAAATCTGATCGCGACGAGTGTGTCACCTTCCCCTCGCTAACAGTGGGTGTGTGACATCCTACGGAGCACAGACTTCAATTCAATGTCTATTCCACGTTGGTTCAACGTAATTTCATTTAAAAACGTGGAAACGTTGATTGAACCAGTCAGGGTTTCCTCCTTACCTTCTTCTCTCCGACAGCTCCCAGGATTCCGGCGATCAGCAGGAGGATGAAGATGAGGAGCAGCCCGACGAAGAACTGAAACAAAACAATAACATGATATGCCCACCACATGCTATTGGTCCAGGAAGTTTTTCTAAAAGTGAACTGGATTCAACTTATCAGATAAGATTAAAAATATCAGAATTGGGTTTTTCAAAAGTGAAATGATACTCTGATCTTTCATATAAGGATTTGGTAATCCAATATCACCTTTAAAAATCATGATTAAATGTAATGAGGATATTTTTGAGACCGTAAATCGTGATCATCTTGATCCCACTGGGAGGGTGGAGTCTGGGTGGTTTTAGAAAAGGTGAACGGTCCTACAACCAAGACATTACAACGGAACTAAAGGAGGTCCAAACACGTTACATCTGAAAACCAAAGCTTCGTTACGTTAAATTGACTGCAGGATAGTTGTTATATTGAGAAGTGTCAAATAAATCCATCTACTTACAGTGGCTTTAGAAAGTATTCATACCCCTTGACTTACACATTGTGTACCTGCCTGAATTCAAAATGGATGAAAGAGATTTTTTTCCCTCACAATGCTGCATAATGACAAAGTGAAAACATGTTTAGAAATGTTTGCAAATGTATTGAAAATTAAAAACAGATATCACATTTACATGAATACTTCCAAAAGGCACTGTATAAGGGATTTGCAGGCTCCATTTTACATTTGACGTATTTTAATTCATGTAGTTTACTCATCTCTGTATCCCTATAACAGTGAGGTAGTACCCCAAGCTGTCCATTAGATGTTTTTAGAATTGTATAACTGCCTTAATTTTGCCGGACCAGGAAGAGTAGCTGATGCCTTGGCAGCAGCTAATGGGGATCCATAATAAGTAATTAGATGGCGAGGTGTAGGCCAGTTCAAAGCACTGAACATCTGGATTCTGTGATCTTTGATATTGTGGCATCTGGATCGGAATGATCCTATCCAATTATTTTCTGGAGGAAAAGAAAAACAGCCAGATCAATTTGATCCTGGATAGCAAAACCAGCCAGATCGATCTGATCCTGGACAAAAGGAACACCTATGTGAGAATGCTGTTAATTGACTACAGCTCAGCGTTCAACACCATAGAGCCCAACAAAGCTCATCACTAAGCTAAGGACCCTAGGACTAAACACCTCCCTCTGCAACTGGGTCCTGGACTTCCTGACGGGCCGCCCCCAGGTGGTAAGGGTAGGCAACACATCCGCCACGCTGATCCTCAACACGGGGGCCCCTCAGGGGTGCGTGCTTAGTCCCCTCCTGTACTCCCTGCTCACCCACAACTGCGTGGCCGCGCACGACTCCAACGCCATCATTAAGTTTGCTGACGACACAAGTGGTAGGCCTGATCACCGACAACGATGAGACAGCCTATAGGGAGGAGGTCAGATACCTGGCAGCGTGGTGCCAGGACAACAACCTCTCCCTCAACGTGATCAAGACAAAGGAGCTGATCGTGGACTACAAGAAAAGGAGGACTGAACAGGCCCCCATTAACATCGACGGGGCTGTAGTGGAGCAGGTTGAGAGTTTCAAGTTCCTTGGTGTCCACATCACCAACAAACTATCATGGTCCACACATACCAAGACAGTCGTGAAGAGGGCACGACAAAGCCTATTCCCCCTCAGGAGACTGAAAAGATTTGGCATGGGTCCACAGATCCTCAAAATGTTCTACAGATGCAGCATCCTGACCGGTTGCGTCACCGCCTTGTATGGCAACTGCTCGGCACTCGACCGTAAGGCGCTTCAAAGAGTAGTGCGTACGGCCCAGTACATCACTGGGGCCAAGCTTCCTGCCATCCAGGACCTATATACTAGGCGGTGTCAGAGGAAGGCCCACAAAATTGTCAAAGACTCCAGTCACCCAAGTCAGACTGTTCTCTCTGCTACCGCACGGCAAGCGGTACCGGAGAGCCAAGTTTAGAATCAAAAGGCTCCTTAACAGCTTCTACCCCCAAATCATGACTGCTGAACAATTCATCAAATGGCCACCCAGACTATTTACATTGACCCCTCCCCCCTCCCCAGACTATTTACATTGACCCCTCCCCCCTCCCTTTGTTTTTATGCTGCTGCTACTCACTGTTTATTATCTATGCATAGTCACTTCACCCTTACCTACATGTACAAATTACCTCGACTAACCTGCACATTGACTCGGTACCGTTACCCTCTTTATATAGCCTCGTTATTTGATTGTGTTTAGTAAATATGTTCTTAACTCTATTTCTTGAACTGCATTGTTGGTTAAGGGCTTGTAAGTAAGCATTTCACTGTAAGGTCTACACCTGTTGTAGTCGGTGCATGTGACAAATAAAATTTGATTTGATTCTGTATAGCAAAACCAGCCAGATCAATCTGATCCTGGATAGCAAAAAAAGACAATTACAGAATCTGGATCATTCTGATCCAGATTAAAAGCTGTGAAAATCTGTCCCCAGAAGTCCTTTCCCATGGGTGACCTGGGGAAACCATTAGATTCACTAAAAGCCTTACAATCTCATACTTGCAATCTCATACTTGCAATGGTCTCTCTTGCAAAAGAGATGCCATCTCGAACATGTATATATAAAAAAAAAGGTTAAATACATGATCGTGTGTAGGTATATGGAGAGACTAGTTGTAGGATCTAACCAAACCAAAGTTCCACTGAGTGAAAGTGTCACAGAACATTTCTAAAAGCCACTAAAACCCCCCAGAGGCCAAACCACACCTTTAACATGAAGATTAAAACACCACTGACCTACTAGGTGACAAAACAACAAGACCTCCTCCACATCTTGCAGCTAACCGCATCCACTTCCTTTTTACAGGCGTACAGGCTCAAAATGGCACCCAGGACAAAAAGTAGAGCAGTATAATAAAGGTTTTGTTTTATAGTGTGTCTGACTGCTGGTCTGTGGCCGACTGCTGCCTCTACTGCCTGTGTTCGGTGCTTCAGCGGTTGGCTATTTGGGACAGCGTTATCCTATGCAGTGTACAATACTGTTGCATTTTTAAATTTTTAAAATGTGAGGGTTAGCCATTGTAAGGGTGTGTGTGTGTGTGTGTGTTTCCCCTCACCAGAATGAGCATGCAGCGGTTTTCCTTAATGGCTCCGCAGCAGCCCAAGAAGCCCAGCACCATGATGATGACACCAACAGCTATCAGCAGGTCTACAAATGGCACTGCCTCGTCCATTATCTGATGGAAGGGGGACAGGCAGTTTCTCAGTCATTTTTACATGTAGATATTACGTGCTAAATATATTTATATGACTGGATCCCTTTTTTTTTTTTTTTTTAATCAAGGTGATGGGTTTACACTTGTTATTTTTTTACTGTGTAAAGCTTTTGATGGGGATGGCAATGTAGTGTCAGACTGGACATTTCCTTACCATGTTTCCATTCTTGCTCACTTTGAGGTAGATGGAGACACCAAGAATGATGCATCCACTGATCTGGGGGAAGAAAAAAAAAAAAGAGATGAAATGAACGCTTTATCTAGAATCAGCTTTATAAAGTTGTGCATTTCAATGTCACTGGGATTACATTAACAGGTCTTGTTGCCGTACCAACTCAACATGAATGTGGATTCATGTCAAAGATGCACAAAAACACACTAGCTACATCTGGTGGCGACTTTGTGAAACTACAGTTGAACCACCACCACTGTGAAACTACAGTTGAACCACCACAATCAAGGATGAGATACAGCATCATCCAACCACCACAGGAGGATAGCTTTCCTGTGGTCACAACAATGGATGCTAGACCACATGGGAGAATCTCAAATTGCTTTCCTTGATTCCTCAAATCCTATCCTCGCCTCTTACATCCATTGAAAGAGAAGCCACTGTAGGTACGGTCATCTCTGGTTAATATATTACACTATAGGGCGGCAGGTAGCTTAGTGGTTAAGAGCGTTGTGCCAGTAAACGAAAGGTCGCTGGTTCTAATCCCCGAGCCGACTAGGTGAAATCTGTCGATGTGCCCTTGAGCAAGGCACTTAACCCTAGTCGCTCTGGATAAGAGCGTCTGCTAAATGACAAATGCAAATGTAAATAGCCTAGGTAAGGTCATCTCTGGTTAATATATTACACTATAGCCTAGGTAAGGTAATCTCCAGTTAATATATTACACTATAGCCTAGGTAAGGTCATCTGGTCAAATTGGTGGATTGGTAAGACTTAAGTTGGGCTACTACTTAGAGAAATGCAATGAACAGTTCCACTTTTTTTTTTAAAGAAATACAATTGAGATTCCCAGGACTTGTAAACAACCCACATCACAATTCATAGAAACCATTGTGGGTATTTCCCCCTAATGCTTTTTCTATCAGATTGCTGCTAAGCGACGCAAGACAAAACATAACAAATATTTTTTTGTTCTTGAGATAAGACCGACCAGGCTCGAAACCGGTCACCTTGCCAACACTGGACGGGCAGCAAACACGAGTCTTTGACAAAGAACAGGTTGTGAGTAGAGCCTTGCATAGAGACTGGTCTGGTCATTCTCTGGCCATGACATCATCCCAAACAGCACCTTATTCCCTATGGGCCAGAGGGGTATACTTCAAATCAAGATTAAGGAGTTAGCTAGATATGCTTGAAATGGGCATGGTCTAATTGAGTCAACCAACAAACACTCATCTAGGTTAAGCTTTCTTAATGTTAAATGAACCAGAAAAATCTGTTATTTCTGGTTGTTTATCAAAGTTAGCTGGCTAACTCATTGAGCCTGCTTTGTAGTATACCCCTCTGGTTAAAAGTAGTGCACTAAAGGGAATCCTAGGGTGACATTTGGGACAAGTAATTTCAACCTGTCCACAAAGGGGAGGTGACACCTTATACCTCAGACTGAATACCCTTTACATTTTAGTCATTTAGCAGACGCTCTTATCCAGAGCGACTTACAGTTAGTGAGTGCATACATTTATTGTTTTCCCCCCCCCATACTGGTCCCCCCGTGGGAATCGAACCCACAACCCTGGCGTTGCAAACGCCATGCTCTACCAACGGAGCTACACGGGACCCTTGGTTTGTAAACCAACGCAACACAAAAACGTACAAGCGTTCAGTCATTGTAGTGAGGCAACACTGGCTGCCTCAAATTGATAGAAAATAGCACAAGTCTAAACCACAGACTACAGTTATGTCTCGATACATGACTAGTGAGTTCTATGCTAGGAACACTGGGCAACAACTTCCCATTCTAGAACACCACAAGTGTTCCATTTTAGAAGAATACTCTTCTGCAATTCACAATTCAATTCCAGCAACATTTCCTACATTAGTCATATAGAAGTTGAAGGAGTTCAAGCCACACACACACACACACACTAAACACCACTGTGCCTGGTGACATTTAGCCAGGCATCTGGGTTGCATTCATTATGCACCAAACGGAAGAAAACTGACTGAATCAGGGAGGGGCAGAGGCTTGTCCATTGAGAAATTATCATTTTCATTTTCCATGTTGCAAAATGTTTAGCTACGGAGTGCACTGATGAATACGACCCTGCTTTAACTGTGGGAACTGGGAAGGCTTAAGCTATCATCGCAAAGGCAACACCTTTCAGAGTCAGTGGAGGTAGAATTACTTCCTTCCCTACCTACCCAGTAACCCGAGATAATTACTTCTCCTTCCCTACCCAGTCACCCTAGAGAGAACCAGTTAGGGCAGTACCGGCACATTCTAGAACAATGACTAAGTGACCAAGCAACACATACCAGTTAATAAATGAACAGAGTCACATCCAATCCCAAATGGCACCACATTACACACAGTGTACTACTATGCCATGTGACTCAGCCAAGGTAACAGAGTGCTCTCTGGACAGAAAGAAAACACTTGCACCAATGTCTTCTATCCAACAACTAAGGGTCAGAGGTACTAGTCCAGCCCAGTCCTCCCCTACCACCAGTTTCAGAAGTTAAGAATGAGACCAGTGCCAAACACAGGTTAATATGGGACTGTAATGAAACGTCCTCAGGCCTAATGAAAATACGTAGTTCTGTAACTCTCCAACCTGCCAGTATCTACATTAAAGTGCTGTAACTCTCCAACCTGCCAGTCTCTACATTCCAGTGCTGTAACTCTCCAACCTGCCAGTCTCTACATTCCAGTGCTGTAACTCTCCAACCTGCCAGTATCTACATTCCAGTGCTGTAACTCTCCAACCTGCCAGTCTCTACATTCCAGTGCTGTAACTCTCCAACCTGCCAGTCTCTACATTCCAGTGCTGTAACTCTCCAACCTGCCAGTCTCTACATTCCAGTGCTGTAACTCTCCAACCTGCCAGTCTCTACATTCCAGTGCTGTAACTCTCCAACCTGCCAGTCTCTACATTCCAGTGCTGTAACTCTCCAACCTGCCAGTCTCTACATTCCAGTGCTGTAACTCTCCAACCTGCCAGTCTCTACATTCCAGTGCTGTAACTCTCCAACCTGCCAGTCTCTACATTCCAGTGCTGTAACTCTCCAACCTGCCAGTCTCTACATTCCAGTGCTGTAACTCTCCAACCTGCCAGTCTCTACATTCCAGTGCTGTAACTCTCCAACCTGCCAGTCTCTACATTACAGTACCTATCCAACCTGCCAGTCTCTACATTCCAGTGCTGTAACTCTCCAACCTGCCAGTCTCTACATTACAGTGCTGTAACTCTCCAACCTGCCAGTCTCTACATTCCAGTGCTGTAACTCTCCAACCTGCCAGTCTCTACATTCCAGTGCTGTAACTCTCCAACCTGCCAGTCTCTACATTCCAGTGCTGTAACTCTCCAACCTGCCAGTCTCTACATTCCAGTGCTGTAACTCTCCAACCTGCCAGTCTCTACATTCCAGTGCTGTAACTCTCCAACCTGCCAGTCTCTACATTCCAGTGCTGTAACTCTCCAACCTGCCAGTCTCTACATTCCAGTGCTGTAACTCTCCAACCTGCCAGTCTCTACATTCCAGTGCTGTAACTCTCCAACCTGCCAGTCTCTACATTCCAGTGCTGTAACTCTCCAACCTGCCAGTCTCTACATTACAGTGCTGTAACTCTCCAACCTGCCAGTCTCTACATTCCAGTGCTGTAACTCTCCAACCTGCCAGTCTCTACATTACAGTGCTGTAACTCTCCAACCTGCCAGTCTCTACATTCCAGTGCTGTAACTCTCCAACCTGCCAGTCTCTACATTCCAGTGCTGTAACTCTCCAACCTGCCAGTCTCTACATTCCAGTGCTGTAACTCTCCAACCTGCCAGTCTCTACATTCCAGTGCTGTAACTCTCCAACCTGCCAGTCTCTACATTACAGTGCTGTAACTCTCCAACCTGCCAGTCTCTACATTACAGTACCTATCCAACCTGCCAGTCTCTACATTCCAGTGCTGTAACTCTCCAACCTGCCAGTCTCTACATTCCAGTGCTGTAACTCTCCAACCTGCCAGTCTCTACATTCCAGTGCTGTAACTCTCCAACCTGCCAGTCTCTACATTCCAGTGCTGTAACTCTCCAACCTGCCAGTATCTACATTACAGTACCTATCCAACCTGCCAGTCTCTACATTCCAGTGCTGTAACTCTCCAACCTGCCAGTCTCTACATTCCAGTGCTGTAACTCTCCAACCTGCCAGTCTCTACATTACAGTGCTGTAACTCTCCAACCTGCCAGTATCTACATTACAGTACCTATCCAACCTGCCAGTCTCTACATTCCAGTGCTGTAACTCTCCAACCTGCCAGTCTCTACATTACAGTGCTGTAACTCTCCAACCTGCCAGTCTCTACATTACAGTGCTGTAACTCTCCAACCTGCCAGTCTCTACATTCCAGTGCTGTAACTCTCCAACCTGCCAGTCTCTACATTACAGTGCTGTAACTCTCCAACCTGCCAGTCTCTACATTCCAGTGCTGTAACTCTCCAACCTGCCAGTCTCTACATTCCAGTGCTGTAACTCTCCAACCTGCCAGTCTCTACATTCCAGTGCTGTAACTCTCCAACCTGCCAGTCTCTACATTACAGTGCTGTAACTCTCCAACCTGCCAGTCTCTACATTCCAGTGCTGTAACTCTCCAACCTGCCAGTCTCTACATTACAGTGCTGTAACTCTCCAACCTGCCAGTCTCTACATTCCAGTGCTGTAACTCTCCAACCTGCCAGTCTCTACATTCCAGTGCTGTAACTCTCCAACCTGCCAGTCTCTACATTACAGTGCTGTAACTCTCCAACCTGCCAGTCTCTACATTCCAGTGCTGTAACTCTCCAACCTGCCAGTCTCTACATTACAGTACCTATCCAACCTGCCAGTCTCTACATTACAGTGCTGTAACTCTCCAACCTGCCAGTCTCTACATTACAGTACCTATCCAACCTGCCAGTCTCTACATTCCAGTGCTGTAACTCTCCAACCTGCCAGTCTCTACATTCCAGTGCTGTAACTCTCCAACCTGCCAGTCTCTACATTCCAGTGCTGTAACTCTCCAACCTGCCAGTCTCTACATTCCAGTGCTGTAACTCTCCAACCTGCCAGTATCTACATTACAGTACCTATCCAACCTGCCAGTCTCTACATTCCAGTGCTGTAACTCTCCAACCTGCCAGTCTCTACATTCCAGTGCTGTAACTCTCCAACCTGCCAGTCTCTACATTCCAGTGCTGTAACTCTCCAACCTGCCAGTCTCTACATTCCAGTGCTGTAACTCTCCAACCTGCCAGTCTCTACATTCCAGTGCTGTAACTCTCCAACCTGCCAGTCTCTACATTACAGTACCTATCCAACCTGTTGTGCTACATTACAGTGATGTACTGTACCCACTGACTAGGGAGTGGGAGATGGGTTGTAGATCTATACTAAATGCCTAGGGGGTGGGAGATGGGTTGTAGATCTATACTAAATGCCTAGGGGGTGGGAGATGGGTTGTAGATATATCCTAATTGCCTAGGGAGTGGGAGATGGGTTGTAGATATATACTAATTGCCTAGGGGGTGGGAGATGGGTTGTAGATATATCCTAATTGCCTAGGGAGTGGGAGATGGGTTGTTTCTGGCAGAGAGATGATACTGTACTTTAATTCTATGGTTTCTGGTTTGTTAAAGGCTCCATAAACTGACGTAAAAACTCAGGACAGGTCCTGGCAACAGGCTAAGGACAGATAACCATGAAGCACTATGCCTAAGCAGTTTTTTCCCCCCACATCAACAGTAGAAGAATATTGTATTTCCCATGTTTCCTGTCAAGGCCATGGCTAGGAGACTAGTTTAAGAAGTGGTAAAACATACAGAGAAACAAACCAAGGGAGTTGTGAATGTCTAATCTGTGTAGAAAAAAAACATAATCACCAGGTCATGTTTTCCAAAGACAAAACATGTAAACTCAGGACAGAGACCAATCAGAAAGTCATTAATGTTAATATGCTTTAAAGGGTTTAGCTGGCCTGAGAAGTGTATCGATACAGTAGCCTGCTATGACCTGGCTGGGCCCCCTCTCTGGTCGGGCTGAGAGTGGCGAGATGGAATTATAATTGATCATGTCTTTACAAAGATGGAAAAAGCTAGTGTGGATATATGGAACAGGAACCATACGAAGGAGGGAGTGGTCAGAGTTATTTTGTCTTGAAGGCTTTAACGAAAGATGGCCGTGTGATATTCACACATTGTTAGCAGACACATTGAAACGTGATTTCATTTCCATAACAGACATGTAAATAGCTTTTTGAACGAATACTACATGTACTAGGGCTACTAGTTGATCACTAAAACGATCAAACACCTCACTGTCCTACACAGACACATTTATGATTAAAAACCAACGTCAAACCAATCAAGGAAACTATAGTTAAAACCATTTAGGTTAATATGACTCACCCAGAACAGTAGGTTGAAGAGGAAGAGCAGGTACTTCACACACTTATTCACAGCCATCTTCTATCCTTCCAGCAGCCAGGCGAGAGGTGATGTCAGACCAACGTCAAGTTACTGCCTACTGCTCTGTTCCAGACCCAACCTGGTGTTGTGGGGGAGTGAGAGGGTTCTTTCACAAACCCGTATTGCAAAGCTGTGGGTGTGGTTCCTGACTACTCAGCCCAGTCCACTCTCTCTAGCCTCTCTTTCAAAGCTGTGGGTGTGGTTCCTGACTACTCAGCCCAGTCCACTCTCTCTAGCCTCTCTTTCAAAGCTATGGGTGTGGTTACTAACTAGACGCTCCAGTCCAGGCTCCAGTCTCCTACATACAGACCCCACAGCAAACCGACCCTCAGTCTTGTAGACAGTGAAACCCCAGAGCAGTTCTGACCTCTACTGGCTCGTTCATCAGAGTAATCAGCCTGTAACAATTATCACCTGAGTCCAATCGACTAATTACGCCTACTGCCAAGGAACTATATTATTAATGCTCACAAGCTGCTGTACCTACTGCCAATTAATAATATTATCAAGGCTAACAAGCTGTACCTACTGCCAATTAATTATATTATCAAGGCTAACAAGCTGTACCTACTGCCAATTAATTATATTATCAAGGCTAACAAGCTGTACCTACTGCCAATTAATTATATTATCAAGGCTCACAAGCTGTACCTACTGCCGATTAACTATATTATCAAGGCTCACAAGCTGTACCTACTGCCAATTAATTATATTATCAAGGCTCACAAGCTGTACCTACTGCCAATGAACTATATTATCAAGGCTCACAAGCTGTACCTACTGCCAATTAATTATATTATCAAGGCTCACAAGCTGTACCTACTGCCGATTAACTATATTATCAAGGCTCACAAGCTGTACCTACTGCCAATTAATTATATTATCAAGGCTCACAAGCTGTACCTACTGCCAATGAACTATATTATCAAGGCTCACAAGCTGTACCTACTGCCAATTAATTATATTATCAAGGCTCACAAGCTGTACCTACTGCCAATGAACTATATTATCAAGGCTCACAAGCTGTACCTACAGCCAATTAACTATATTATCAAGGCTAACAAGCTGTACCACAGGAAATAACAACCATTATACGTGTTAAAGCCTTGCTCTGCACAACTTGTAAATCGTTGTTTGACAAAGCAGCCCCCATATACAGAGACCTAGCCATTGGCTCTGTCTCTCCCCACATACAGAGACCTAGCTATTGGCTCTGTCTGTCCCCATATACAGAGACCTAGCCATTGGCTCTGTCTCTCCCCACATACAGAGACCTAGCTATTGGCTCTGTCTGTCCCCATATACAGACACCTAGCCATTGGCTCTGTCTCTCCCCACATACAGAGACCTAGCTATTGGCTCTGTCTGTCCCCATATACAGACACCTAGCCATTGGCTCTGTCTCTCCCCACATACAGAGACCTTGGCTCTGTCTCTCCCCATATACAGAGACCTAGCCATTGTCTCTGTCTGTCCCCATATACAGAGACCTAGCCATTGGCTCTGTCTCTCCCCATATACAGAGACCTAGCCATTGGCTCTGTCTGTCCCCACATACAGAGACCTAGCCATTGGCTCTGTCTGTCCCCACATACAGAGACCTAGCCATTGGCTCTGTTTGTCACCATATACAGAGACCTAGCCATTGGCTCTGTCTGTCCCCATATACAGAGACCTAGCCATTGGCTCTGTCTGTCCCCATATACAGAGACCTAGCCATTGGCTCTGTCTGTCCCCATATACAGAGACCTAGCCATTGGCTCTGTCTGTCCCCACATACAGAGACCTAGCCATTGGCTCTGTCTGTCCCCATATACAGAGACCTAGCCATTGGCTCTGTCTGTCCCCATATACAGAGAGAGAGATGAAAAAGAGAATGGGAGGCAGAGGGAAAGACAGAGAGAGAGAGAGCGCAGAGAAAAGGAGAGAGCTCTCCAGTCTCCTCTCAGGCCCATTAGAGGTTAATGAACATAGTGTTCGAGAGGAAACAACAGGGAGATCCACCACTAATGGCTGTGAGATGTTACTATGATACACATCCAATAACCCAGGAGAGACTTCATGGCTCAGGGACGAACTGTTGCTGGTTTCAGATGTTTCCCATGCCTGCTGCCTATGAATGTGACCAGATGTAAACCCTCATTAGATCAGATGATGATAATTCCATCTCAACTCTCAGCTGAGGACTGTTGGTAGGCAGACAGAGGAGCAACAGGGGGTCAGAAGGGTGGAAATCAGAATGTGATGTCTCTAACCCTAGAATGTGATGTCTCTTTGCCACCTTCTCCTCCCTGCTGAATCCTCCTCCTCCCCCCCCTCCTCCCTCTCTGTGGATGACTTCGTCAACCATTTTGAAAAGAAGGTTGACGACATCCGATCCTCGTTTGTTAAGTCAAATGACACTGCTGGTCCTGCTCACACTGCCCTACCCTATGCTTTGACTTCTTTCTCCCCTCTCTCTCCAGATAAAATCTTGCGACTTGTGACGGCCGGCCGCCCAACAACCTGCCCGCTTGACCCTATCCCCTCCTCTCTTCTCCAGACCATCTCCGGTGACCTTCTCCCTTACCTCACCTCGCTGATCAACTCATCCTTGACCGCTGGCTATGTCCTTCCGTCTTCAAGAGAGCGATAGTTGCACCCCTTCTCAAAAAACCAACACTCGATCCCTCTGATGTAAACGACTACAGACCAGTATCCCTTCTTTCTTTTCTCTCCAAAACTATTGAGCGTGCCGTCTTTAGCCAACTCTCTTGCTATCTCTCTCAGAATGACCTTCTTGATCCAAACCAGTCAGGTTTCAAGACTGGTCATTCAACTGAGACTGCTCTTCTCTGTGTCACGGAGGCTCTCCGCACTGCTAAAGCTAACTCTCTCTCCTCTGCTCTTGTCCTTCTAGACCTGTCTGCTGCCTTTGATACTGTGAACCATCAGATCCTCCTCTCCACCCTCTCCGAGCTGGGCATCTCCGGCGCGGCTCACTCTTGGATTGCGTCCTACCTGACCGGTCGCTCCTACCAAGTGGCGTGGCGAGAAGCTGTCTCCGCACCACGTGCTCTCACCACTGGTGTCCCCCAGGGCTCAGTTCTAGGCCCTCTCCTATTCTCGCTATACACCAAGTCACTTGGCTCTGTCATATCCTCACATGGCCTCTCCTATCATTGCTACGCAGACGACACACAACTAATCTTCTCCTTTCCCCCTTCTGATAACCAGGTGGCGAATCGCATCTCTGCATGTCTGGCAGACATATCAGTATGGATGACGGATCACCACCTCAAGCTGAACCTTGGCAAGACGGAGCTGCTCTTCCTCCCGGGGAAGGACTGCCCGTTCCATGATCTCGCCATCACGGTTGACAACTCCGTTGTGTCCTCCTCCCAGAATGCGAAGAGCCTTGGCGTGACCCTGGACAACACCCTGTCGTTCTCCGCTAACATCAAGGCGGTGATCCGATCCTGTAGGTTCATACTCTACAACATTCGGAGAGTACGACCCTGCCTTACACAGGAAGCGGCACAGGTCCTAATCCAGGCACTTGTCATCTCCCATCTGGATTACTGCAACTCGCTGTTGGCTGGGCTCCCTTCCTGTGCCATTAAACCCCTACAACTCATCCAGAACGCTGCAGCCCGTCTGGTGTTCAACCTTCCCAAGTTCTCTCACACGTCACCCCGCTCCACCGCACACTCCACTGGCTTCCAGTTTAAGCTCGCATCTGCTACAAGACCATGGTGCTTGCCTACGGAGCTGTGAGGGGAACGGCACCTCCGTACCTTCAGGCTCTGATCAGTCCCTACACCCAAACGAGGGCATTGCGTTCATCCACCTCTGGCCTGCTGGCTCCCCTACCTCTGCGGAAGCATAGTTCCCGCTCAGCCCAGTCAAAACTGTTCGCTGCTCTGGCACCCAAATGGTGGAACAAGCTTCCTCACGACGCCAGGACAGCGGAGTCACTCACCACCTTCCGGAGACATTTGAAACCCCACCTCTTTAAGGAATACCTGGGATAGGATAAAGTAATCCTTCTACCCCCCCCCCCCCCCCCCCCAAAAAAAATAATTATACAAAAAAAACATTGTAAAGTGGTTATCCCACTGGCTATAAGGTGAATGCACCAATTTGTAAGTCGCTCTGGATAAGAGCGTCTGCTAAATGACATAAATGTAAATGTAAAACAATGCAAACCCTCCCTAAAATGAGTGGAAGGGAGAACGGCCTGAGGAGAGGTTGAGGTGTTAGTACAGCCCTGTTTACCCACTCTGACAGGGAAGCCCTGTTTACCCACTCCGACAAGGAAGCCCTGTTTACCCACTCTGACAGGGCATGCAGCCTGGCCCTGCTTTGAGTGGTGTGTGTGTGTGTGTGTGTGTGTTTGTGTGTGTTTTGGGCATTGGGCCACTCCCTAAACAGTGTGTAGTGTAGTCATTAGAGCCAGCGTATACAAACTGAATGACTTGTGGCAGGAAGCACCAATGTCCTCTGAGACACGTGCTGTATGGGTCAGGGATTCATTAGTTCCATCTCAGATCTGACATGACAGCTGGCAGATAGTGGAGAAATGAAACCAGTGCTGTTTCTGGGTATAAGCACCAATGAAAAATGTATGCACTCACTAACTGTAAGTCGCTCTGGATAAGAGCGTCTGCTAAATGACTAAAATGTAAAATGTAAATGTATAAGTGACGTAAGCGCCCATCGCTAGGGGACCCCCAACCAAACTAAGGAAGTCAGTCAGGGTCTCAACTTACTGTTAGTTAGGATAGTAGAATACACAAGGTGACATTTTGTTTTTATTTGGTACTGCATCAGAAGTTTTCCCCTTCTCATGTCAGTCACTGAGAGTCACTCAATAGAGCTCGCCAGCTTGTAGTCCTGAAAAACAGAAATGAGTTAGAATTTTCTACTTCTGGTGTGTTCAGCCATTCCTATTGGGGGAAATTAATGGGGAAAGAATGGGGTTTTGTGAAAACGACAAAAAATAAGGTCTGAGGTTAACACAGGCTTAGGAGATCTCATAGGTTTTGTTCTAGGTGATAATATCAGTCAGTTAAAGGTAGACGCAAAATGACGTCGTCACGAGCAGCGCCGCAGATATTGAGATGAGCGAGATGCACGACTTCACTCTCACACAGTATCTGCGCATGTGCACGGATTCGCTTCATGCTGTTACAGCGTGGTAGCCAGGGCACCGAAACAGCG